GGTGTCCGGGTAGAGAGGGGGAACGAGACGACTTCGTTATAATGTTAGTCTTCAAGTGCATAGCAAACAAAAAATAAAATACCATCATGTCTACACATAATATCTAGCAGATTTATTTATGTTCCAAAATCCTTGAATGTTCTTGCTTCCTGCAGATTCCAGCTGGCCTAAATAAACTTTTCTCTGTGTCCTGGAATTTGACAGATGTCCATTTAAAAAAAAATATGTATGTTTTCTTTTTTTTGCCGTTCATGTGTTTTGTCTTGTTGTGACGGATGCCATTACCATGGTTATTTTATCATTAGATGTTCTGCTGTTTTTATGTCGTTGTTGTTGCTGTTGTTGTAGTTGTTGTATGTGTGGTAGCCTATCCATTCGAAATGTTTGGAGCTCCGAAGCTCGTGCTCTTCGCCAGAGCCACCGCCTCTCTTGGGTAGCGGGTGAGGCAGTCTAACCTCTCTGAATCCTCCCCGAAGAGATGCCACCGCCGGACCTCCGTGGTGCGGCATCTCTGCAACCAGTGCTCCAAATCTTGGGTTTCCTCGCTGAACAATGAACAGATTGGAACCGATGTTTGTCTGTTATTCTATTTTTGTTGGCCCGCAGCCTAGAGAAGTAACCAGTCTTAATGTTTGCCAGTCGCTGTGGGACTTAATTTGAGCCTCCCGTAATAAAGAAATTGTCCTTCATATTTCCTTCGTCCGGGTGTGGGATATCGGACGGTCTTTTGCGATCAGTTTTATCTGGGCGCATGCACTTTCATAATTATGCAATTTGGCGGCTTGGGCCCAGCAACCTGTTGCTTGTTTGACATAACTATCAGCGAGGTCGTTGCCGAGGATCTCGCAGGGACTCGTCAAAATAACATTTCTGAGCACATGCAGCTGATATCACATGAAGTAACTAATTTTTTGAAAAGTGTGCTTTGAAAATGAATTTATGAAAATTGAAAAAGTATTCATGACGTGTTCTTTTTCAATTTTCATTCATTCATTAATTAATGTATGCATTCATTTTCTAAGCACACTTTAAAAAATGAGTTATTTGATGTGGTTTCAGCTACAGGTGCTCAGAAAATGCTATTTTGTCGAGTTCCAAATTAAAAATATTCAAAGAAGATTTAGGTACTAACTGTTAATAATAAAATGTTTTTTTTGGGTTGTTTTTTTAACTTTCGACTCAGCAAAATTTTATTTCTGAGTTTGTCGGCTATAGTATAATGTCTATAATCTTATAGACTGCAGTATTATGTACACAATTGTACACATTTTACACAGACAGATACCCCCCCCCTCCTTCTCTCTCTCTCTCTCTCCC